GTGTGTGTGTGTGTGTGTGTGTGTGTGTGTACGTGTGTGTTATAGACCTGCTTTGCAGATCCACTCCAGGTAACCAGTTAACTCTCTCTCAATTTGTTGTTGTCTGCGAAGCTTCAAGAACTCCTGCCTCTTCTCCACACGCTCCCTTTCTTTTGCAAATTCCCTGCAGAAATCAAACACACACACATGGTAATTAAATTTAAAAAAGCTCAGATTCTTGAGTATCTTAAGAGGTTTTTTTCCATCAGTATCAATTTATCAAACCTCTTGAATCCCTGACCTGCAGAAATTTTCAGAAATATTAGGACATCTTTGTTCTTCGTACAAAGCTTTATTCACATTTTGGCACTGAGGGCCTAAAGTGATGAAAGCTCAACCATTCTCCTTACTTACTTACACTCTCCTAAAAGATCCACAGATTTTCTAACAGAGCCAGCAGAAAGTGTCATTTCTCTACTTTTACTTTCTTTATTAGTTATTTTTTTAAATTGTGAGCAAAATCTGGTTTTACAAGCTATCATGGGAAAACCTGTAGGCATCACACATGCTTTAAATCCTGATCCAAGTCCTTTTGATGCAGAACATGACTCTTGGACCTTTGATGAAGAACTATTTGGTCATGAATTAGTCTGATGAAAAGCCCACAGACTGTGATGTATCTGGGTCCAGTGAAGTTGGCTTTCCTCCACACAATGGTAACATAAGGTTTTGTTTTTAGTCAACATTAGGCAGAAAAGGTTTGTCTCTCTGTGTTCATACAGTTCTGTCTGTTACTGAGGGTCATAGATTTAAAGTTGGTGCTTTGTCTCAAACTAAATGACTTCCTGAATATTCTTGAAACATGTAAATAATTCAGTGTAGAGAAAAAACTGTTCATTTTAGTGAACTGAATCAATACAATCAGTTCATTAAAAATAATTCATGGAAAAAATTCATTCATTGAATCATTCACTTCACTTGTAATACTTATACTATAATAATATTGATATTAACAACAATACTAACATTAATACTACTAATAAATTAATTGCAGTATTACAGAGGGATAATAATATGTAAACTATTGGTATTTGTAATTGAGTTTAAATCGTTTTCTATTCTGGTATTAGCATTAGCATGTTTCTCCAAGCTAACGGCTAATGTTGAGCTATAATAAAATTCACACAAGCCCCGCCCACATTATATAATAGACAATGAGAGGAGACAAAAGAAAAACTGTTTTCTTTTTATTTCTATATTTGTTAAGTTGATAGTTTCACGTTAATATTTTAAATGTAGCTTTTAGTTTTTATGTTGTCATTTCTGACTCATCTTAATTTACTAATGTTTTGTATTTAAGCTATTTACTTTATTTTTGATTGAATATTTAGGGTTGTATTTTCTTTTATATGTATAAAATAAATGTGTGTGGCCTGTATTTAAAATATTTAAAATATTTATTATATATAAAATATTTTAAATATTTTAAATACAGGCCACAGATCTTGCAGTTGTTATGACATTTCTGGCTCTTGATTTAATTTTTGTTATACACTGACTGTAAAGGTGGCTCAGTTGGTAGAGCTGTTGCCTCTCAGCAAGAAGGTTGCCAGATCAAATCCGAGCCCAGGGACCTTTCTGGGTAGAGTTTGCATGTTCTCTCCCTGCATGTGTGGGTTTTCTCCCGGTACTCTGGTTTCCTCCCACAGACCAAAAACTGCTAACTCTAAATTGTCCCCTCATGTCCTGTCATGATTGTCCATAATAAACAGCTTTGACAACACTACTCTTCTTCTGGTTGTCCAGCTGAAGCTCATTTGTCCTCCTGCATCGCTGCTCTGCAGCAACAGAGGGTTAAATCCTTCCACTTCAAACAYGCTGAGTGGGAAATGAGATCTGCAGAAGAGGGCGGGACGTGGAGGATGAAAGAGAGGAAGGAAAAGAGCCGGAGATGGAAAAACCACAACAGAGTGAAGGAGTAGAGGGGGCTCCGGTCCACCCCCATCCTGCTCAGCGATTGGTGTGTCTCCTCAACAATGGAGAGAGAAGCACCATCCTGCATTGCAGTGGCAGTCTCCCTGAGTGTGTGTAGGTGTGTCTGTGTGTATCAGAATGTAACTTTGTGGTGTGACTGCAGGACTAAAAGACTGAAGGAGGAAAGAGCTCCAGTGTTTGACAGTTTTTCTCTGCTCCTACAAACCACAGCTTACATTCAGATCACACAAGTAAGTTTTGGACATTTTGAAATAAATGTGAGACAGCAGGTGGACAAAACTGTCTTCAGCAGTTCAATATCATTCCTTTCCTTCACACTCAGGCAAGTACACAAACAGGTATGGTCAAATCTGCAGCATCTTCATCAAATTATAGAAAAACAATAAAATCACTGAGATAACTTGAAACTAACATAGCAAAAAGAGAACCATACTAAAACTCAACAATTGAAAATCAACTGCTGCCAGATTAAAACTAGTGATATTTAACTCCTAAAAAGACTGAAGCTAATGTGTCCACAGGGACATGTTGGACTCAGGTGTGTCCTGTAACCAGCCTCTCAGGTGTCTGCAGTCTGTTTCAAGCTGACAGGTAGTCACAGGGCTGCTGGGTATCATGGAGCAGGAAGCTGAGGACAGAGTGTCTCAATAGTTGACATCATATTAAGATAAACATGAAGTTTTCAAATCCTTCTTTTTAATATTTAAATCAGAAAAAAACTTGTACTGTTAAATATTAAACATCTGCAAAATTAGGTTTTGTGTTTACAGTTTAGAGAAATGGATGGATGGTTTCATGAAATGTGTTTGAGTGACTGAAGAAACACTGTAAAACGTCATGGTTCAGTCAGTTTGTACACCACACATCTTGTCCTCCCCTGCTCTGTGTTGTTACTAGGTTTGAAAACAAACCAATTCAAAACTAAAAGATGTTGCTAAAATCAGTTTCAGATATTTATTTGACATCATCTAGTTGTCTCACATTAATCTGACTCTAAAACAAGACAAGTCTTCAATTTAAGGCACACAGAAATACTGTAGGTGGTACTTTGTCTCTCTCTCTCTCTCTCTCGCTCGCTCTCTCTCCCT